TTCACCGCGATATTCCTAGGAAGACATCTCTTCTCACTGCCTCTGTATCCTTACCATCCATTCATTTCTTAACCCTTTTATAATCTAGGTCAGGTGCAACCCTTCTGCTGTAAGTGTTCTGTCTGAGGTTTGCAGCTTTTGAAGGTTAAGCACCCCTCTCCTCCTGGATAGTCTTTTTTCTCTTTCTTTTGACTGCCTGCAACATTGTTATCACCTAGACCTATTCCCATGTGCCTTAGCATTCCTTTTCCATCTCCTTTGCTGGATCATTGTCCATTTCCTGCCCCCTAATTATGGGTATCTATCAAAGCTCTGTGCCAGACCCTTTTGTCTTTCCTCAGCATTTTCCTTTGGTGATCTCATCAGATCTTACGGATTCAATTGTTGCCACAAAAATTACTCCAAAGTGTGTATGTCCAGCCCTAATTGTTTTCCTCAGCTTCATTCGCATATTGCCAACTGCCTGATTAACATTTCTATCTGGCATCTCAAACTGAGAATGTCCAAAATGTAACTCATTATTTTCTTCCTAAATCATCATCTCTTCCAAACTTCTTTATTTTGGAGTGTACCACCATCCTTCCAGTTGCCACAGTTTGTAACTTAAGAGAGTTATACTTGACTCTTTGCTGTCCCTCATTTCCTTTTTCCCAGTTGGTGGCTAATTCTCTTCTGTTAAACATGTACATTTCTTCCATCTGTATCCTTCTCTCTAGGTACAGGGCCACTACTTTACTTCAAGGCTTCATCACTTCTGATCAGAACTATTGCAGTATTAATTAGATAATTACTATTAGTATTCACTGAGAAGTGTCTACACACAGATACACTTAGAAGTAGGAATTTAGTAAAGTATATGATTGTCTGTTTTCAAAGGCTTGATGTAACAAGCATTTGTTAAGTGCCACTATTTGCCAGCTGCTTTGGTAGACTCTAGGAATATAAATACAGAACTGGTATAGTTCCCCATGGAACTTAGAAAACGTAAATACCAATTTGAGTTAGCATATAGTAAGAAAGTAGAGAGGAATCATGAAATGATAAGAGGAGCCAGCTTTGGTCAGGAAGATCTGACTCTCACTTATACTGATTCTGTGACTGATCAAGATGCTTAGCATCACCACTTTCCAGATACTTCTAGTATAAGTTGCAGAAGAGTTGCTGATCTCAATTGGTAGGAAGTGTAATACGTTCCTAATGAGGGCCATAGATTCTGAATGTATGCTTAAATTTGGGTTACTCAGTAGAGCAGTTTGACTAAGGACTCTCTATGTTAGGTTCAGGAATTTTAAAATGAGATGATTTTATTATTTTCTCCTACTGGTTAAACTTTTACATTTGATAATGAAGTCCTCTCCTGGAAAGTGATTATGTGGTAACAGCATCCATTTTAGGGACATTAAAGGAGAAAATCCATATAAAAGACTTATGTTCCAAAGGAGATTTATTAAAGGATGTTCTTTTTGTCCAGGTGAAAATGAGGGCGAAGGAGGAGGAGAGATGTAGGTGAAATAGGTGCTGTCATCCTCCACATCCATATCCACATTAGAGTGGCAATATGATAGTTCCCTCAAAGATGACATCTTAGCTTTTCCTTTTTATAGAAGAATAGTTGACTCTCTGACATATTAGGGATGCTTCTTCCTCTTTTCAGGGACACCGGGGTGATAATTGGTGTGGAGCAAGGTGTTCTCTATTGCCTTTTCTTCAAGATTTGCATTTAAAGATGAAAAGACAGTAATTTCTTGAGGGATAATCCAGGCAAGGTCTAACTTGTGCCTGAGGGTTTAGGCTCCATCCAGATTCTTTAAAAATGTAATACTCATAAATAATATTTAGCAAAAAGTTTAATAGCATAGACAGGCTATTTAGCAAAGATAGTGTTGATTAAGTTTGGCAAAGCTTGCCTCACCTTTGCATTCGCAACACATATGGTGAGAAAGGTGTGATGACTCACATGGCAGCCTGAAGAGTGCTTAATACTCATGCTTCCCTCATTGCGGTTGCCTTAGGCAAATGGGAAGCTTCTCGTGATTTGTGCCTTAATCTTTTTAAGTTTTGGGGAAGATTTCCTTGCCTTTTTAAAGGAGAGAAAAAACAAACAAAACCTAATGTATATGGCAGGAAACTTCCATTGTCACTGCTCTGAATCCTAACCAGATTAGCAGATCCTACTTTTCTCACTAAGAAAGTAGGAATACCATGTTGGAATGTTTCCCAGTCTACTCACGATGACTAACAGGGATGTGGACAATCTGACCTGTTAACATCTGTTGCTGTTGAGCCACTTAGGCCCAGGTGGTAGCTGATGTTTTGGGGCTTTTTGGTTTTGTTTTTATTGGACCTGTGATTTCTTTGGCAGGATTTTTTTGGTAGGAACCCAAAGAGAGAAAACAAATTGATAATAATTGCTGTTTTCTGGGTTTGAAGGGAGCTTTACACATGAGCTTTATGTCTCATACAGATGAGGAAATTGAAGCTCAAAGAAGTGACTTGTATAAGGTCACAAAGTCCAGAACTGTGGGGTTTCAACCCAGGTCTTCTGTGACTTCAAGTCTAGCACTCTTTCCACTATACTTGCTTCCTCTCACTTTCTCAGCAATATGAAAAGCCTGAAAATCCATTAGACCATTGGGTCTGACTGCCAGTTTTTTCTCATTTTCCCTGCAATTTTACATTGTTGTACTAAATATTTTTATGTAATTGATTCTTTTGCAGAAATTGTTTAAGATGATGTATTTTCCTTGTTACTTATAAAAGCTTTCTTCTAGAAAATGAAAATGAAATGAAAGGGAAGTATTTTGTGCTTTGGAATAGAACTAGAAATCCTTATTCACAACTTTGTTGACCTCACTACTTACCTTTTGGCACAGGTCAACAATGTGATTGAAATATTTTTCCCTGATACTTGTAATAGATCTTTTCAGCCAGTTAATATCTTTAAGTTGTATACCTTGTGATGAAAGATAATTTATTTATGAGTTAGCTGGTTGGAATTAGAGGTGAAGCCTGTTATAATTCAGTTCACTCATCAAACGTTTATTCATTGTCTGCTCTCTGCCAGTCACTGTATTAGGCACTGACAACAAAAATAAAATATTACCTGCTCTTATGGAACTTACATTCAACTCAGGAAAAACACACACAGATATGTACAAAATATCTAAAAAAAACTATATCCAAATAACATACAAACTACAAGGAGAACAGTAATATGTGGAGGTTTCAGGAAAGGCCTTATGTAGAAAATGGAACTTGAGTTACATCTTGAAGGGAGGTAAGGATTTCCAAGAACCAGAAATGAGGAGATAAGAGCATTCCTGAAGCACAGGAGGAAGTGTTGGAAGTGTTGGTATCTAGGTTGAAACTCAATTGACAGGCCAAGAAGCTAATCTTAGAAAAAAGATGGCTATGCAAACCCATGACCAACTGTAACACCTGCAAGTAGTAACCCCCTGTAACTCCCAGCTGGATGGGACGAGTACCTGGTCAGTAGTCTTGGCATCTTCTAGCCAGCCTGACCTGAGCTCATCAAGATGCTTTGGCTTGCCCCAACCCTGAAACTAAGTGTTAATAATAAAATTGTTTTGCTTAAAGAAAAGGGAGGGGAGTAGGTAAAATTTAAAAAAAAAAAAAGATAAATGACCTTCCTAAAAAGTTCTCTGAAATCCCTTATTCTTCCTTGTGCTCTTAGCCTTCTGGTTCATTCATTTGGTAAGCATTTTTTTAAGCTCCAGGTGTTGTGCTAAGCAGTCGTACAAAAACAAAACTTATTCCAAAGCAAGAGTAATTTTAATTTCACATGGGAATCACAGACATGATTTCCACTTCAGGAGCATATTGGTGGCTTAAAATCAGTAATATTAGCTTTCTGTTGACATTCTGGATTTGTAGGTTGGAATAATACAATCATGTACTAGAAAGAGAATAGGATCTGCACTGTCATAAAATCTATTAGACACCTGAGAAACACCATAAAATACTATGCTTTGTGAATTGCATTAGACAAGTTGAGTTTATATATACAACACATATTTTCCAAATGCTTATCACCTCTTTGGCTCTTCTCCCAGGTACAGAGCTGGAACTCAAATTTAGCGTAAGCTGTCTTTCCCAAACACATTCAGCTTTGTTTTTTACTTATGATAATTTCTAGTCAAAGAAAGTAAAGAAGAAATGATAGGAAAATGGGTGAGGCTTCCTATTTGGAAATATGATGCCTAAAAGTATTAGGGGTGGGGATTAGGAAGGAGTGCAGAAGTTGTGCTTGGTCCTTTTTAATTCCACACCTAGCTCAACTTAGTGGAGTCAGGAACGTATATCTGCAGCTTCTCAAGCCCTGTCCTTCTTTTCTTCTGTATATTTCCTATACTTTATGCTCACACTTTTCCTCTCCAGGGGGAATACCTAGGATTCCTGGACCCTTAATATTGACCAGTTCCTAATCTTTGCTAATTTTTTTGACCTAGCGTTTAAGAAGTGAAAAGTGTAAAATTTTCCCTTAAAATGACAATACATTTTTAAAAATATTATTGATTTCATTAGTAATGCCTTTGCATGGTGTGAGCACTGTATGGTTATAGTAGATCATGCATCAGTACTATTTCAGAAATTATATAGTTGAGGTTGTTAAGCAGGATTTCATATTTAAACAGCATTGTTATACCAGTAAGTTTATTTATATTAATGTGGATTCTTGGCCAGACTGCAAGTCATATATATAGACACATACATACATACACATACGCATGTGTATATACCATATGTTATAATTCTTTGAAGGACATTCATGTATTCTAATAAGTCATATATTCTATAAAATTGAAATTTTTTTATAGTAAACAGTTAAAATTTTATGTTATATAGTAATATTTTCAGGTTGAAGAAGACTATGTGGTTAAAAATAGTTATCAGCTATTTGGAAGGGTATTCAGTATTTTATTTAAAGAAAAAAGATAAAGATCTTTTTGACAAGCTGTAATATATTGTTTGAAATTCAGGAATAGAAGGCCAATCTGTGGAAGTTGCCAATATTTTGGACATCAGAGGAGAATATAACCGTGAGATTGCAATGAGAATTTCTTCTGACCTAAACAGTCAAAAAAGATTTTATACTGACCTAAATGGATATCAGGTAACTATTCTCTTTAAAGTAGAAGTATAATGCATAAACTAGTAATGTTTATTTAGTAATGGTTCAGTTGTTAATTTGGTAGCAATTAAAGAAATAGATTAAAAGTAAGCTTTTATTTTAAAGTATACTGATTTTTTCAAAAAAGTTTATTTTTTAAAATTTAATTGTTTAAAATTTTATTTTCAGTTCCAAATTTTTTCCCTTCCTCCACTTTCTCCTTCCCCATCGAGAAGGCATGAAGTATAGTACTCATCACACATATGAAGTCACATACCACATATTTTTATATTAGCCTTGTTCCTTGAGAGAGGGAATAGTCTTAAATCTGCACTCAGAGCCCATCAATTCTTTATTTGTAATTTGATAGCATTTTTATCAAGAGTCCTTTGGAATTGTGAGGGATCATTGTATTGATCAGAATTACTAGGTCTTTCACAGTTGGTTAATTTTATACTACTACTATTCCTGTGTAATTTGTTCTCCTGATTCTGCTCACTTTATTTTGCATTAGTTCATATAAGACTTCTCAAGTTTTACTAAACTGATCCTCTTTATCGTTTCCTGTAGCACAATAGTATTCCATCACATTGTTATACTACAACTTGTTCATCCAGTCCCCAGTTGATGCACATTTCCTCAATTTCCAGTTCTTGGTCATCACAAAAAGAGCTGCTATATATAAATATTTTTGTACATATAGGTCATTTTCCTTTTTCTTTGATCTATTTAAAGTGTAGCCATTGTAGTAGTATTGCTGTGTCAAGAGGTATGTACAGTTTTATAACTTTTGGGGTGTAGTTCTAAATCACCTTCCACAATGGTTAGATTAGTTCACAGACCCAGCAACAGTGTATATGAGTATGTTCATTTGCCCACACCTCTCCAGCATTTGTCATTTTCCTTTTTTTTGTCACCTTAACCAGTCTGATGCATGTAAGCTGAATTTTTAGTTAACAGGTTTGTACATAAAAAAGTAAAACCACTATATGATATTCCCAAAATTGGACTAAATAGATGAAGGGATAGTATGCATTTACACTGAAATTTTTTATATTTTTTGGGGGGGGGTGAGGCAATTGGGGTTAAGTGACTTGCCCAAGGTCACACAGCTAGTACGTGTCAAGTGTTTGGTCTGAGGCCAGATTTGAACTCAGATCTTCTGACTTCAGGGCTGGTGCTCTATCCGCTGCGCCACCTAGCTGCCCCATCTTTCTTCCTCTTGTTACTCCTTCTTCCCTTTCCCCCTCCCTCCCTCCTTCCTTCTTTCCTTCCATCTCCCTTCTCCCCCTCCCTTAACTCTTTAGTAAAGCAATTTGACTCTTTAGTGTAATTACTAGTTCTTTGTCCCTTTATCCTATCACACTGCTCACAACTTGCCAAACCTCAGCTGCAAATTACTCTCACCATCTGCCTTTTTTTGTGCCTACTTACATGTTGTGAATGGATCTGCAGCTGTGCTAACTTGGTCCACTCCAAATTTATGTTATCTAGTTTCAACTAGATCCTTGCTGCAACATAAAAGTCCTTGTAGCCCTCTCTAATTTATTCTCTGTCCCATGCCAGGAAGTTCTTAAACTTCCCACCCTCTCATTTTCAACCCATATCTCTATTTTCCAATCTTCTACAAATGATTATGAGTATGTTATATTCACTAAATAAAACTAAACTTAATTCAAAGAGGAAGAAGAAATGTGAACTTTTCAGATAATTTTCTGCCACATGCCAAATATTTATGTGTATCCAACTAACTTTCAGATAGGCAGCAGAGCAGAGGGCAAGATGCCTTGTAGTAAGAAAGCTCCAAAGTCAAGCCCTGCACCGTCACATAAAAGCTACTCGGTCATGGTTAAGTCTTCCCATCTTTTAGCACTCCTGTCATCTCTCTAAGACTGTGTTAGAGATAGTTTTGTTCAGTAGAGAGTTTCTATTCTACAAGTTCCCCACAACAAAACAAAACAAAACAGAACAAGTTATAATCTAGACTAACAGTATAGGGAACATGAGATCCTGCTGTGTCATTTGATTTTAAAAGTGTATTTGGGTCTCCATGTAAGAGGGGGTAACATGAAATATACTAGAGAAGCTCAGCTTTCCCATGGAAACCTCAGCAAGTAACCAAAAAGGTCCTAGAAAAAATCAGTGATACAGAAATATGAAAAGATTCAGAAATGAGCTCATCCATCTAGTGTGGAACAGCAGAAAAAGATGGTCATAAGAGGTTGGAAGCAGGTAGAGGGAACAATCCAAGGAAGCTGGTACCAGGACAGAGAAGCAGAAAGGGTAGAGGTGGGGAAGAAGGGTCATTCCAGTAACCTTGCCAGAAGCCAGTAGAATTGGAGAAAGTAGGAAACCAGTGAGAATTCCTGCAAATAGACCTGAAACTTGACAGTGTCATAAACAAGCACTATTTCCAATAATCAGGGACCTGAAACCAGATCCTGCCCCTGACCCATTAGAATAGAATCGGGGCTAGAACTAACACTCACAGATCACTGAACACAGACACAGGAGATAGAACCAGCTTAGCACTTGAGTGCTAGATATGGGGTTTACATAGAAAGCTTGAGCCCAAAACGATATCCAGTATCCCACTGAGGCCTTTTTGGGAAAAAAATGCCTAGTTCAGACATAAATACCCAGTGAACTACCAGGAGACTTAAGTAGAATTCAGGGATTGAGGAAGAGGGTTGGGATCCAATAGCCACTCCCCTACCAAGATTAGCAGTGGTAGCTATCTCCAGACTACAAAGAGGACAAGACCAAACCATTTAAGAGTGTTGGAGGGAGGCGCATCTAGGTAGTGCAGTGGATAGAGCACTGACCCTGGAGTCAGAGGACCTGAGTTCAAATGAGGCCTCAGACACTTGACACTTAGTAACTGTGTGACCCTGAGCAAGTCACTTAACCTCATTGCCTAGTCCCGTCTCCCCCCCCACCCCCCCAAAAAAAATCATGTTGAAGAGGACTGGCCAGAATACAGAATCTGAGACTGAAAATGTGAGTAAACAGAAAAAGATAGAAAACACTGATCAATGGAATGAGAGAACAGAATCTTGTGCCTGGGGTGGGGGTGGGGGGGATGACTAGTTTGATTATAAAAATTGTTGAGAAAAATGAAGCATATCACAAAAATGAATGAGTTGAAAAGAGGAAAAAAGTAAATGAATAGCTTAGCACAGAAGTTGGAAAACGCCAACTAAGTAGTGGACTCTCTGGAAAACAGAATAAAGCAAATGACTCAACTACTACATGAGATAAACATTATTAGAAAACATTTAAATGATTGAAAAAAATAGAAAATGTAAGGCATCTACTGTCAAAAATAACTTTCCTACAAAACAGGTCAGAGAGAAAATCTAAGCATCATTCAACTTCCTGAAAACCATGATCAGTCAAAAATCCAGAAGCCATAATCATTAAAAAAAAAAAAATCTACCCAGATACCTTACTACCTCAAGACAGTGAAGATTAAAGGAATCTACTGACCACGTGCTAAAAGAATCATCGAACTATAAATGGACCCTGGAATGATAAAGCCAAAATCCAAGATTTTCCAGTGTAGGAGGGTTTGAGAACTGACAAGTATTATGGACTTATAGTTTAGAGGGATAAATGTTCCTTCCCATCCTAGAATGCAGTTTCGACTGTTGTACTCTTTGAATTAGAAGACAGTTTTGAATCATGGTGGAAAATTTTGAAAAAGATTCAGACAGTCTGGGAAGAACAAACTGAGAGGAAAAAGAACATGAGCCGAACAACAGTAGCAATGGGAGAGATGGCATCCTTACCGCCACTGAGACTTAACAAACATAGCTGGGGAGGAGCAGAGCCATAGGAGCAATGAGAGAGAGAAGAGAGCTCAGCTTTGGTAGAGATGGGAGAAATAGATGATTGCTTAATACATGACGAAGTCTAGTGTCAGTCAGTAAGGCATATGTCGTATACTTAGTTTGTGCTTAGAACAAGGAATAACCATTCTGAAGCTACACACTGAATTAAATTAAGATAAAGCATTAATCTTCTATCCCAATCTTAGAATTCTTCCTAATACGGGGCCCTGAGCTATTGTAATTACATTAAGAGCTTTTCTTGTTTTACGAACTCTATAAAGTACATTAAAAAAAAAAACCCACCAGAACAGGAGACCTGAGTTCTTTGAGTTATCCCTTATAATGAGTGCAAGTTCTATCTGCTTAGGAGAATATAACCTGGGAGAGGGCAGTTGTATTCCTAGCATCTGGTGTAGTGACTTTATAGAGTAGGTGCTTAATAAATGTTTATTGAATTTAATTGGCAGTATTGAAGGAAGTAAATTGAGCTTGGTATTCAAAGGGCCAATATTCTGATCACCGAATTTATTTAAAATTTAGTTAGAAGGGAAATTAGACATCTCCTAGTTCAGTGCTCTCATTTTATGGATGAAATAAAGTATTGAAGAGTTATGTAGGTACAAATATTTTTTTGATTTTAATTCACTATAGTAATTGATAGTTATTTAGTACTTGTTTTTAAAAATCACAAAATATTAATAAAAATAGCAAGCATTTTAACATGTCTATGACAACTGATATGTATTTGTAGTAAACCAACTTAAGGTAAATAGTGATTTTTTAAAAAAATATTATAATGTATGCTTTTAAACTTGGGTATCTAGCTATTCTGTTTAGTGTTCATTATAAGTATAATATTCCAGGCTTAGATCATAAAAAAAGTAATCCTATTATAATTTGTTTTATGCAAATATTAAGATTCTAACGCTTTGTTGAATACTCCTGCTCCTTTTTAGCCTTATTTTTAAAACTAGGAATATTCTGATATTCTTATAACGCCTCCACCTTTCTCACAAATCTTATGGCAGCAGTTCTTTGTCTTTTGCACTCAATTTCCTTTAAAGAGAATTTCATTAAAAAAAAAAAAAGTTCTTTGAACCAGAAATGATGTTGTGCTGTTTGTCTGTAAAACAGAAATGCATCACTGTTAATACAAAGACATTCAGATTTCCATCAGATAAGTATGTGAATATCACCTGAATTTGCTAAAGATAACTTTTTGCATTATAGATACAGCCTAGACTAACAATGAGCAAATTACCTCTTCAAGCAAATATCTACCCAATGACAACAATGGCTTATATCCAAGATGATGGGTTTCGTTTGACACTTCTTTCTGCCCAGTCTTTAGGTGTTGCAAGTTTGAAAAATGGTATGTACTCTTTTTTCCTCTCTTAACTTTTTAAAAGATTCAAGTATGCTATTTCACCTTTGGTAAAAGTGCGTTGTTACTAGAGAGAGAGAAAGAGAGAGAGTTCTTTTAAGATAGGAACATAAAATTTTATTTAAATGTTTTATAAATATTTTGAAGTATACAGTAGTTCTATATTTTGGCTAGTTAAAAATGGAAGGGGTGGGGACAAAAAGGATGGAAAGAAAGAAAACAAAGGAGTTAAATCATCAAGTCTAACCCCTTCATTTTATCAATGCAGAGAATAAGGCCAAGAAATTACTGAGAATCCAGAATTATGTTCACTATATCCTTTCCCCACCCCCCCAAGCAGTTCCCAGCCCAAGCCTCACTTGCTCATTGTTGGGTTTTGATGACTCAGAGCAAGTGTAAATGAAGATTATTTCTGTTCTGGCTAGAAACCCTGAAGGTCTTCCCATCCCAGATTGATTCTTTTGAGTAAGCAACCTAGGCTGTCTTTTGTCTCAGTTCTTACCTAGCCTGAAATCACTGAATGGGTGTTGCTTCAGACAAACTGAGACCTGGGAAAAAATCTTAGCTTAAAAAAGCCAAGGTCTCCTACTGCATCCTGAGCCATCTCAAGTCATCCTGACCTGTGTCTTGCCACTGGGCTTAGACGACTGGAGGAAAGAGTGAGGCTGATGACTGCGCAGTTCTGCCTCACTTAAATCTAATTCCCTTACAAGTCAAGACATCACCCTACTGATGTCACTGATCCTCTCCCAGAAAGAAGGACAAACAACAACAATCTACCAAAGCAGATTAACATTTTATCTGCATCTTATTGTCTTAGTTTCCTAGAATACTGAGAACTTAAGTGATTTTTTCCCTCCAGAGTCATATAGTCATGGGGCAGATAGGTGGTGCAGTGGATAGAACACCTGCCCTGGAGTCAGGAGGACCTGAGTTCAAATGGCAGCCTCAGACACATAACACTTACTAGCTGTGTGACTCTGGGCAAATCACTTAACCCCAATTGCCTCACCAAAAAAAACAAAACAAAACAAGACAAAAACACAAACACAAACACCAGAGTCATATAGTCAGTTTGTGTCAGAGGTGGTACTTGAACCCATGCCTTCCTAATTTGAAGACTGAAGAACATACATTACTCCTTTTTCCTTTGATGCAGCTTAACACTTTATCAAAAAATATTTAACATCTTTATATGTGTTTTTACTATTTATAATATAGCATATTATCATAGTATAGTATATAGCACATATACAATATAATATGTGTATTATATATTATAGACTGAACTTTCTTCAATGAATTGTAAAAATTTGTCCATTTCAGATGTACTAGTTGCTAAACTTTTTTGAACATTTGTTGTTTGCATACTTATATTTTCAACCCTGTCTTTTAAATTACTTTTAGTTCTTCAGATAAAACGTAGATTTTTGACCAAATGTGATTTCGTTGGTATAAGAAATTTCTGGAGAGAAATGTCCTCTTCCAATGCAGATAAACACCTTCTCTCCAAACTTCTAATCTTTACTGGTAAATTACTCAGATCATTAAAAGGTTGATCTCCTTTTCCAAGATCACAGAAGTCAGTATATCTCAGAGGCAAGATTTGAGCCTAGGTCTTCCTCATTCCAAAACCAGTTGTCTATCCATTGTGACACACTACCTCATAAATATTCAGCATAATAATGATAAAATAATAGAATTTATATAGAGTTTTAGATTTGCAGTGTGCTTTACACACGTTATTTCTTCTGACCCTCATAACAACAACCTTATGGCATAGGTGCTGTATTGTCCTCATTTTAAACACAAGGAAATCAAGATATGTTAAATGGCTTGTCTAGCATCACACGGCTAAGTCTTGTCTGAAATAGGATTTAAACTCAAGACTTCTTGACTCTGATTTGAACCTTCTCCCCACTCTGCCACATGGGTAGCCATTAGGTGGCATAATATATAATCAGTTTAATTCTTGATATGGACATTAGTGATACAAATAAGTACAAATATGGATTAATCCATCATTGCAGCCAGTATGCAATGCAGTTATCAAAATAAACATTGATTCTTTTTCAGGACAGATTGAAGTAGTCATGGATCGTCGACTCATGCAAGATGATTATCGTGGGCTTGGACAAGGTGTACAAGATAACAAGATTACAGCTAATTTATTTCGAATTCTATTAGAAAAAAGGAATGGAATTAACATGGTAAGAATTACGTGTCACATTTTTTGCTTGTTTTGATCAAATAGTAATTCTTTTTCTTTGATGAAAATCTTGGGGACTTTATATTTTGAGGTGTTCTGGTATTTGGGGTACCAAGATATTCTAAAAAATAGTATTAGATTGTACTCATATTAAAAGTCTACTACTCCCACCACATGATCATCTCAATAGGCTAAAAACCCTACGAAGTACAGGCATAGAAAGACCTTCTTTTTTAATATCAAAAAAAAAAAAGCATCTATCCAGAACCAAAAGCAAAGCTGTCTGCAATAGGGATACACTAAAACAATTTACAGTAAATATAAGAGTGAAGCAAGAGTGCCACTCTCCCTATTATTATTTGATATACTTCTGGAAATACTTGCAATAGCCCTAAGACAAGATTAAAAAAATTAAAGATTTAAAGATAGGTAATGTGGAGGTGTAAAACTATCCTTATTTACTGATGATGTGTTGGTAGACTTGGAAAACCCTAAGAAATCAACAGAGATACTAATTTAGATAATAGCTTTAGCAAAGTTGCAGGCTACAAAATAAATCCTCAAAAGTCATTAACATTTCTATGTAGTAATAGTAAAACCGAGGAAGGAATAATAGGGAAATAACATTCTAAACAACTACAAAATGCATAAAATATCTGGGAATCAACATACCAAAGCACAAGAAAGACTTGTATAGATTCAGTTACAAAGTGCTCCTTTAAGAAATGTAAAACAACTTAAAATTCGCCATGCCAATATAATAAAAATGACAATACTACCAAAATCAGTTTACATTTTTAATGCTATACTGATCATTACCTAGGAGAAACTTTATAGAATTTTATAAAATGATAAAATTCATTTGATTTAAAAAAAAAAAAAGATCTAGAATACCAAAGAAAATGATGAAAAGAAGTAGATGAAGGGGAAATAACAACACATCCAGATCTCAAAATATACTATAAACCAGCTCTCAGTAAAACCATCTGGTGTTGGTTAAAAAAGAAATAGAGAAATAGCTCAATGAAGCAGACTAGACACAAGAGAGAATCAGAAATAATAGACTTCAGTCACCTCAGATAACTTCAGTAGCCACTAAGAACTCAGTGTTTGATAAAGTGGACTAGGGAAAAAAAAACTCCTTATTTGATAAAACTGCTTTGGTAAGACCAACACCTTCCATTCCACAGGACATTTGGATGTACTGGGTGGCTTCTGAGGTCCTTACCAGCTCCAAATCTGTGACCTAGTGATATCTTCTCATTCATCCTTGTTTGTTGCCACTAGTGTCCTATTAAACCTAGTCTTTGTATTCTTCAAGATACTTTTGAGAAATTAGGGGAAGCTGATGGTAAATATTTAAGACTGAATCCTATGATTGCAAGCTACTGGACTTTTCTGCTTCCAGACTCAGGATGGTCAAATAAATGTTTCTAGCTTTAGTCAATTTGAATAAATTTAACTAGGAACAAGAAATATTTATGCTCAATACAGACCTTAAAATATTTCTCCTGAAATATTATAAATGCTGGAAGGATGCTTTGATTCTAAACTATTCTCATTTCCTTCACTTAATTAAACAAATTTGGGTGAAGTTCAGGGCATCTATGTATCTATGTCTATGTATCTACCTACCTACCTATCTAAGGACATCTGAAAGGAGACAGCATTAAATAAGCCTAAAAGGCAAGCTGAGATGAAACTCTGAAGGATGTTAAATCTACAGGTCTTACTAATCTTTAATAAACAACCAATAAAAGGTTTTTACTAGAAGAAAGGGGAAAAAAGTGATACTTCAGAGGGGTTGACTTTTGACAGAACTAAAAGGTTCAACTGTTAATCAAAGACCATAGCAGGAGAGAACAAGGAGATGTCAAGAGATTTTGAGTTGGAGTAAATGGATTTAAAGGCAAATAACCTCTATTTTGTCAGTAACTTGTGAGGCAAGGGGCTCGAGAGTAGAAAAAAATTTGGAACAATCACTGAGGGATGCTCCTTAGGTAATTAAAGAAGAGTGAAATTATTTCATTGTGACAGTGGGGGCTCAGATGAGATTGAATATTGAAAATTTGTAGCTGACTCAGTCAACACAATCATGTGACTTATTTAAGTCAAGAAGAGAAATGGTAGGGGTACTAATCCCAACTGGGGTTTGGCAAGTTGTGATCAACAATAGGGCAAGAGACTGGAGAGTAGAAGACAGCATATAGTTGAATTGATTAATTTATAGGATTATCATGATTGGGAAGGGAAGAAAGTGAAGCCAAAATAGGAATTGTGGCCTCAGGAGAGCACCAAAGGATGTAAGTCCTGGAAGTTACAGAAGGGATGAAAAATAGATTTAGAGGAAATAAGACACAGGGCAAAATGAAAAGATAGGAGCATGTGGTCAGTAATGTCAGAGTCCTTGATCATAAAAGTGGAGCACATGGATTGCTGGTGAGATCACGATTAGTTCCATATCAGTGTGTGAAACACACTAAAAGAGGTGCCTCTACTTTCTCTCTTCATTCTCTTATTCTTTAAAATCTAGCTTCTGATCTCATCTTTACACCAAAACTTTCCATCTCTTAATTGCAAAATTCATTGGACTTTTCTCAATCTTCAGTCTCCTTGACTCCTCTGTAGCCTTTGACACTGTTTGATCACCCTCTCCTCTTTGATATTCTTATTTCTCTTGAGTTTTTGGCACTTCTTTCCTAGTTTTTCTCCCACCTATCTGACTACTTTTTTTGTCTTTTTTGCTAGATCCTCCCTTTAACAGTAGGTATCCCAAAGGTTTCTGTCATAGACCCCCCCCCCCCCCCCATAATACTTCACTTGTTAATCTTGTCAGCTCCCATGGATTCATTTATCGTCTCTGCTGGTGATTCTCAGATCTACCTATCTTGCTCTAACTTCTCTACTGATCTCCAATCTCAAATCTTCTTTCACATTTGCCTTTCAAACATTCAACGTGTTTGATTTGTTCTACCTGTTTCATTGTCTCCCTAAGATTATAAACTCCCTGAGAACAGGTTGTCTTTTGATGCTTTTTGTATCCCCAGCGCTTAACATAATTAGATGCTCAGTAATTTTTTTTTTTTTTTTCACTAACTAGGGTAGAGTGATGATGAGTTTAGAGAGGCAAGGATGTTTGAGGGGACATTATAATGTGTATAAAAGTCTCCTAGCATAAAGGAAAGAGTTGACAAAGAGAGGAAGATTGAACCAAGGAGACCGGAGTGTCTTAGGGCAGGTAACTACCACCACAATTTAGATAGATTGACAGAAGGAGGTTCCAGAAGACACAATTGAAGGTAGGGCAGAGTTGGATAGGGTTGTCTTTGGAAGAGGTAGCAAGAATAAAGAGGTAGTTTTCACTTACACAGCCAATAATTTTGTGTCACCAAGATTAGTAGAGGAAGAAGTAAGAATTTGTTAGCCACAGAATGAGAATATGTAATATTTTTTGATGGACTCACACTCTTAAGAGTCTTATGCAAAGCAGAAGGCAGGGGGCAAGTTAGGTGGCACAGTGGATAGAACACTGACCCTGAAGTCAGGAAGACTTGAGTTCAAATCCAGCCTCAGACCAAACACTTGACACTTACTAGCTGTGTGACCCTGGGCATGTCACTTAACCCCAATTGCCTTTAAACAAACAAACAAAAAAAAGCAGAAGGCAGTGTCTCTTCTCTGTCAGGAACTAGAGGAAAGGGGAAACCAGCCTACTTACTTAGGTTGGCTGAGCCCTCTGCACACGGGAATATTCTTTCCTCTAACCAAGGGCAACAAGAAAGAAAAAGGAAACATCTGAGTCATTTCTTGCTGTGGTTAGAAATGAAATCTTTTCTGAAAGAAAATGGAATTGTAAATAAAGCTTCTCATACTCTTATTTCTCAAGGAGAGCAAAAAAGATTACATTTGGGATTTTCTTGGCAAAAGATACTGTGCCATTTCTTTCTCCATCCTTCTACTCTTAGAAAAGGTTCTGCATTCAAGAGGTTTGGTATCTGAGCCTCTGGTCCTAGCCTGGACCAGTCTAGCCAAAGTCCAGTAGAAACTTTGTCCCATTCCTGTTCAGTGATTAGTGAAGTAAAACTGGTCAGAGCAGCACTAGAATATTGAAGATCAAGTATCTTAGTTGCAGTTGAGGGGATTTAGGGGTCGGTGAAGGAAATGACTCGGTTTATAAAGACTGCACCAACTTCTCTGACTATGGCTGACTAGAGCAGGGAATGCATCCTGTGCCTGAGTGCTTCTGAGAGCTGCATGTTCTGCTCCGATAGGAAACTTAGGAGGCAGATTGAACTTTATTGGCACACACATAAATACATATGTATATATCACAGGTACACACATTTGTATATTCCTGAACAATTGTATATCATACATATGAACAATTTGCTGTGCTACATTGCATCTCATTTAATTTTTTTTTTCTGAAAAAAATTTGACCAACTTTAAAAGTATGTGATTTTAGACAATTTCAGTGGTCAAACTTTGGGGTACATCGTGAGACCAAATAGATTTTTTTTAAGAATGTTTTTAGAAATAAGGGGATAATTCTTTCTTTGTATTGCCAGTCTAGTAAGCCTGATTCTCAAGTACCAATAAGACAGGTGCTTGTAACACGTTATTATGCCATTTTTTTGGTTTTGTTTTGTTTTTCACCAGAACCACTCACTGTTGCATAGCATTCTGTAATTCTAACCTAGATTTTGAAGTCATGTAATTTTGGTCTAAGTTTTCAATTATTGAAAGGGATCACATCTTATACTCACTGATGAATAATAATGTGGGGGGGGGGGGGGGGGCGCAGGTAGGTGGTACAGTGGATAGAGCACAGCCCTGAAGTCAGGAGGACCTGAGTTCAAATGCGGCCTCACACCAAACACTTGACACTTCTGTGTGACCCTGGTCAAGTCACTTAACCCCAATTGCCTAAAAAAAATTAATAATAATAATAATAATGTGAGGGGCAGCATGGCACTATAGAGAGAGAATTGACTTCAGAGT